GGTACGGAAGTTGCTTACTGTAGGAAACAACTGTTTGTGTTAGAAAAGTTTGGATTGCAAGGGGTTACATGTCTTTTCTAAATATACTGTAGTTTCAGTTTTATGTCTGTTATGTGTGAGACTGTTCCATTCCTTTAGTTTGAAAAGTTAGCACCAGAAATTGTTTTATGGCAATAGACTGGAGGACCACTGGAAGCAGACCAATTCTGTGCTTGCAGTGTCTTATTTCTCCTTCACTTAACTGTTTCAAGCCTATCCATGTTATTGCTAGCTGTGCTATACACACAAAGTTGAACACTTGGTTGTTGAACACCTTCTCCAAGGCAGATGGTAAAGCTAAAGGTGAAATTTATGTTGACATGTTAAGTGTTCTAGCTGGCTGACTTAGCCAGGTAAGCCTCGCAGCGTGTGAGATCAAAGAGCAGCAGAATTTGCTTTGGTGCTTATGGGCTAATGTGTGAAAGTGCAAAGAAACTCAGGCCTGTTTGAAGGAGTCTTAGCTGCTGAGGAGTTGTCTGTGATTTGTGGGCTTGTGTTTTGTTTTGAGGGTTGGTTTTTTTTCTTTTTTTAGTTTATAAATAAAACCTGTGGCTGAAGCAAGTATATAAATTGAATCTTGCTTCTTGATTCAGATTTAAGGGTTAGGGAGATCACAGTTCATTCACACTTTCATATATCGTACCTGAAAATTGCTCTGGTGAAAGCTTCTTGGGCATCTGGCATTCATTTGGCTGTTTCAAACTCTTACCTTTTAGCATTATACTAATTTCTTGTCATAAACATCCACCAACAAATTGAGTGCTATTAGCTTTATTTATTTATCATGAAACATAGGCAGTGTTCCAGACTGAGCCTCCAGTTTTAAAGAATGCATTTCTTTTGTTTGAACAAAGACAGCTTTTTGGCTTATATATCATTTCATAGATATAATGACTGACGTCCCACTGTGGGCAAAACAGGCTCGACTCAGGGAATTTTCCTTAATTTAACTTATTGCCAGTTAATACAAACTTTTGATTATTGACTGGGAGGGCAATTAAACAAACAGGGAAATGCCTTTCCTCCCTCTTCCCCAAGCTCATCTTCTCTCATACACCTCTCTTCCCACATTCCTAGTTTAAGCTTCCCTTGTTCTCCCCGTGTGCAATGCTTGGTCAATCCCAATTCCTTTGTTGAGGCAACAGGCAGTGTGAGAGGCCAGGGTCATGTGCAGGGTTTCCCTCTGATGCCACTCCTCCTTCATGCTGTGCTGCTCTAGTGGGCTGTCCACAGGCTACAGCCCTGTGGGAGTGGGAGGACAGAGAGGGGAAATTCCCTGCCCTGACATGGATACTCGTGGGCCCTACCTAGCACCGGTGGGACCATCCCTGCTCTGGCATGGAGTACCTCCTTTCAGTGTGTCTCCAGCGCAGTCCCTGGCAGTGTCACCTCTGATGCACCTCCTCTGTTGCTTCTCGTTTGTCTCTTCTATTTCTTCCCCAGTATGTTTGAACAGAAGCACCATGTACACTTCTGGTTGAAATTTTGATGCGCAGTGGGTTGTTTTTATCAGTTTGAGAGTCATCTGGCTCTGTCTATGACTGGCTTAGGGCAATTTGTGGCCACCTCCTCACTGATCACCCCTACAGCCCTGTGGGACCAAAATCCTGCAGTGTACGCTCAGTATGCCTCCAAGTGTGGCTTAGCAAACTATTTAAATGGCTCTTAGTGAACAGCTATGCTTGTCTTCCCAAACTATTAGAATTTTGGTCCATTGATATAATCTTCTATACTTTTTAGGTTTTAGGTAGCTTTTTCTTTTGTATGCATATAATTGTTCATCTTTGCAACGTTTTGACTTTTGCATTTGCATGTAGTGATCATATGCAACCAATAGTTTAGGAATCCATGTCTTTTCACATATCTACCTCTCTTTTTAGAGAACATTTTTTTTTTTTTCTTCTAGGTTGTGGATTCATTTGGAGGTTGTCTCTGTTTTTTCCCCAAAGTCTTCTCTTTTGTATCCTCCCCAAAATAAAATCTTTCTGCTTAGCTGTTCTAGCACAATAACCTTCAAACATGCTTTCATTGTGAATGTGCAGAGGCATTTCTGAGTACAGTGATTTTGATGAACTCTTCAAGATTTTGATGACATCAAAAGGTAGATCATGGTTGTGCACCTGGGCAATTCGCAAAAGAATAACCAACAGATTTATAATCTGAATGTACTGCTAGGTTGTCACGTGAGTCTTCTGAAGTCAAGAATTGGGTATATCTTCAGTGCTTATTTGAAAAAGGGCATAATGCTAGGCTGAAAGGGGCTCAGCAGTGAAACCTGAACTTTATATCAAGAGTCAGCAAAAGGTGCCATGTCTCATACTGCGAAAATCTTAGTGAGAAATGAAACATTTGACCAAATATTGTTTATCAGAATCAAATGAAATTTCTTCAGCTGTTCAAGTAAATTACCCAGTAGGTTCACTTTTATTCAGGGATGACCAGCTCATCTTCCTGGAGACCACATCCACATAATGGGACAACTGTGCAGCCACCTCACTGTTACCTGAGATAGAGGGAAAAGGCAGGGGCTGGGGTAACGAAGTATAGGTTTTTTTAGAGGAAGTAAAACAAATAGGTCTTATTTACAAGTGAAGCTTTCAGACTGAGAATTTTTCTAAGTTGGCCAAAGTTTACAAAGGATGTGGCCGCTTAAATTCCATCATGGACAAGAAAAACAGGTTATCTGCATTTAGAACTGTCAAACTTGACTACTACTTGCCTAGTAGCTTATCTCAAAATGACAGCCATTTGGAGAGAAGCAGAAAGAATCTCTTGCCAGTAGATATGGTAATGCTGGGCTCGCCCAGGAAATGCAGCTCTGCCTTCCAGGCTGCTGCAGTCGGCTTAGTTGAGGCTCACCCATGGAATGGGGGAGAGGACCAGAAGGAGGGGGCTGCTCATGCTTGGTTAGCAGGCTGCTGTCTTGTGCAGGCACTACCTCTTCCTAACCTCTTGCTGCCTTAAAGTAAATACTGCACTCTTCATAAGGTTTTGAGAGCAGAAGAGCTTTTGGGAGATAGAAAAAACAGCGAAGCTATAATTATACCTGGAGGGAAAATATGCTTATCTGTGCTTTCAAATGTAAAACTCCCCAGTTACTTTGTATTAATGGTTAACCTTGAATGGCATGGTAGGGTGTTAGTTTTATAATATCCATAATTTTTATTGCTTATTTTCCTTGCTCTGAGCAATTTTTTTTTCCTGCACAGGTTTGCTATGTGGAAATTTGTGTAATGTGAGAGGTTAAGCTGAAGTGATCTGAAGGTAGAAGAGCTAAAAATGAGTGATTATTCCAGACTCTTAAGTCTTGTTTTTGTGGTTTATCCCAGCCGGCAGCTGAAGACCACACAGCCATTTGCTCACGCCCCCCGCCCCCGCCCTCAGTGGGATGGGGGAGAGAATCATGAAAAAAAAAGTAAAACTCGTGGGTTGATAAGGACAGTTTAATAAAACAGCAGAGGAAGAGAATAGCAATAATAATAAAAAGAGAATATACAAAACAAGTGATGCACAATGCAATTGCCTGCAATCCGCTGACCAATGCCCAGCCCATCCTGAGCAGCGATAGGTGCCCCCCAGCCAACTCTCCCCAGTTTATGTACGGAGCATGATGTTGTATGGTATGGAATACCCCTTTGGCCAGTTTGGGCCAGTTGTCCCAGCTGTGCCCCTTCCCAGCCTCTTGTGCACCTGGCAGAGCATGGGAAGCTGAGAAGTCCTTGCCTAGTGTAAGCCCTGTTTAGCAACAACTAAACCATCAGTGTGTTACCACATTTTTCTCATGCTAAATCTAATACACAGCACCGTTCCAGCTACTAGGAAGAAAATTAACTCTATCCCAGACAAAACCGGGACAAGTTTGAATCAGTCTCTTCATGTCGTCTCCATTTGTTTGATTTGCACCAAGTGCTATGTGAAATTTGACAATTTTGCTAATTTTTCTGATGGATACTAACTGTCTTTAACATAGTCACAACTAAGGAGAAGGTAACTGAAAGATGGAAAGCAGACTTTTAATGAAACCTTAAGCAGTGTTTCAAAAATACTTTTGTGAGTCTGGGTACTAGGGATGGAAAGAAGGAAATTATGAGGGCAAGATGATATAGGGAATACAAGAACTTCAGGGAAGATTGTAAAAGTGCAGAAAGCACCTGTCCGGAGTCGTGACCACAGGACTGAAGGTGTTGATGGAGTTAAACAAGACCAGAGCTGACTTTTACTTGTGTTTCAAAGACCTGGAAAGGCAGGAGAAAATACAGATACTTAGTTTATTATTTTGAGAAAGAGATTAGTGTTGGACATCAGGGTGCAAAAATGAGGGCAGATGTAGAGGCATATAAATGTACGTAGAAAGCAGGATAAAAAGTCCAAAGGTACAGAAACATACTCAAAAGTTGGTAGCAAAGTGGCAAAGATTGTTTAGGTTCAAAAGAATACACTTCAGTATTTTAACGGTAAAGAATTTCTAAAAGAAATCCTGATTATTTTTTTTTTTTTAGATATATGATATAATTGAAGAACAAAGACTTTAATGTCTATCCAACATTAAGAAATCTTTGGTTGGTTTAATGTCTCAAAAGAATGCAAGTAAATATGGGTTTCCCTCTATTGTTGTTGTAGTTGCACAGTCTGAAGTAGAGCTGTTCAGTCTCATTCCTCAGGTGACCTGTAAGATAGTTCCTCCTCCTTAAAATTCTTGTTGCTCGCTAGACTGTATTTTAAGCAATTAAAAAACCACACTACTCTAATACAGGCAGTTTTGGCTAAGTTGAGAAAACAAATGAACTTAAGTTCTGGAATTAAACTGTGTTCTACTTCTGACTTAATACAGGAAAAATATTTGGTCACTTCTCAGTAGTTTGTGGCAAAGTGAAATGAAAAAAAGTAGCAGTCTTTCTATTATCTGAATACTTTATGGGAGTACATAGTTACCATAACTGAATAACCTCCAATTTTTGTAGGCATTTGGCATAGCTACTGATGAAAACTTTGTTATCACCACAACAAACAGGAAGGAAATTACAGAAGACAACTTCAGTAAGTATCTTAGATGGCAAAAGAAATAAAGCTATTTCTTACATTGATTCTAAAGACTACATGATGATTGGTTATACACTATGGCATACAATAATTAAGTGGAAGTACAAATCCTGTAATAGTTTGACAAGAATTGTTACAAAATTGATTTTCGCAAGCAAGTTTTTAACAACTACTCAATAGTATGATGACAGTTATGCAAGGTAGTTTTTTACCTTCCATCACAAATTCTGTAAATGATAGGAAAAAGTGGCAAGTAAATGGCTGTCTCACCTGAGAAAACTTGCAATATTAAGCTTGGAAACATGAAAAGATTTTAAATTAAATGTTGTTGCTAGGAGGCTGAGTAGTCAATGCCTAAGAAAATACAGAGATTACCTGAGGCTAAACCTGTACATGGTTTGAGAGCAGAAGTTCACTCGAACAGTGAATGCTCTTCAATATATTTTATATTTCATCTTCACTGCAGGCGAACTTGTTCAAGATGGAGTTACTTTATATCTGCTACAGTCAGTTGATCAAATGCTGCTTTCGGCAACCAAGGAGCGAATCGACTTCCTGCCCCACTACGATACTCTTGTCAAAAGTGGGATGTATGAGTACTATGCCAGCGAAGGGCAAAATCCTTTGCGTAAGTACTTGACAAAATAATTCTGTGTAAATGATGTTTATACAAATATAATGTGGCTATGAGGAATTTAACTTCTAGTTACAGCTGGTGAAAAAATAGTCTTAACTGTAAAAAAAAAAATCCTATGTTCTTTATGCAAATTTATCTTTTAAAAATGTCTCAAAATGGCTGTGTAAGAATCCAGATTTACAGAGGTACCTCCTCAAATATTTCTTTAAGAAGCTGGAATATTTTAGAAGTAAAATTACTTCAGTCTTCATAATAATATTGTGGTTGTCATCCAGACAAGTCAGCATTTGTGTTATCAGGTTTTTGTCTCCTGTACTGGCTTTGTTTGAACTTGGTGACCAGTTTTTGTATGAGCTACCATGGAATTTTGTCTGCTGTCCCATCTGTGGGGACTTAACTTATCAACAAGAGCAAGTATTTCTTTAAAAAGATGCTGCTTTAGTTTTTATCTGACTAGTATATCAAATATGTAACCAGCATTTTGTATTGTTTTATTGAAAAAATTATTTTCTGTTTATGGCTGAAAATTCTGTCTGTGGCTATGATTACTTTTTAGGTATGTACATCTTAGGTACAGCAGGCTCAAAATTGTACAGAAAAAAATGTAAACATCAAGATTCAAGGATCATACCATTCCCACAGGGATTTCTGTTTCAAAACAATCTCAACAATGTCTATAAATAGCAACTGTATTTTTAAGTACCATTCTCCTTTTGCCTCCTCCCTCTTTCTGCACTTCATTTTTTTTCCCGTCCTGCCAAAGACACTTTTTTTGGTTGAGGTTTGGGGTCACTGTATTGAAAGTGCAGTAATAGTTTGGTCAGTGATACAGATTATCTCTGTGCACAGGAATGGCTGTATTAGACCACACAAAGCATTCTGTTTATATCTGTGCCTTGTTCCTATCAGCAGCCAGTGTCAGATACCTGAGAAATTCTAGGAGAACAGAAAGGCCATGCAGAGATGCAACACAAGTGTATTTTCACAGTGTTTTGTGATACTGTGCTCCCAGCTTAATTGCATGTGATATGAAGTGTCATGTCTTTTTGTATATGTTGAACTAGTTACCGGTTTTTCACCTGTTGACCCTACTTTGTGTACTGGGAGAGATCATAAAGTGTTGCCGACAGATTGGCTGGCAGTGAATCATGCTTTAAGCTAACAAACTTGGGGGTTGGGATGCAAAGTCATGACACTAATGCACTCACAAGCACCAAGGTGGATGAGCACACCTACCGGAGTAGTGAGGAATGACCCCAACCCTCCAAAAAATTTCCACGAGAAAGGTGAGACAGTTGGCAGTCCAGCTGAAGTGTCTCTATACCAATGCACACAGCATGAGTAACAAACAGGAGGAGCTGGAAGCCACTGTGCAGCAAGCGGGAAAGCTATGATCTGATCGCTATCACTGAAACTTGGTGGGATGATTCACGTGATTGGAGCGCTGCAATTGATGGCTATAAACTGTTCAGGAAGGATGGGCAAGGAAGGAAAGGTGGAGGGGTTGCCCTCTACATAAAAAAAAAAGGATTGATTGCAGAGAGCTGTCTTTGAAAAACAGCAGTGTACAGGTCGAGCTTATCAGTGAAAATTAGAGATCAAGCCAACAAAGGAAACCTTGTGGTTCGTGTTTACTACAGACTGCCTGATCAAGGGGAGGTTGTCGATGAAGCGTTCTTACTTCAACTACAGGAAGCATCACACTTGCAGGCCCTAATCTTGCTAGGGACTGTAGTCACCCTGACATCTGCTGGAAAAGCAGCACAGCAAGCTGCAAGCAGTCTAGAAGAATCTTGGAGTGCATTGAGGATAACTTCCTTGCGTTGAGGACAACCTAGGCAGGTTGGCAGTGATGAGGTTGTGGAGAGAAGTCCAAAAGCGATCAAAAGGGACTTCAAGGCACTGGAGCGATTGGTTGAAGGATGAGGAGCACAGGTAGTGTTTTCCTCAATCCTGTCTGTGGCAGGGAAGAATACTGAAAGGAACAGGAAAACTCACCTGATTAACATGTGGCTCAGAGGCTGGTGCCATCAGTGGAATTTTGGTATTATTTTTTTTTATCATGGGGAGGTTTACACAGCACTGGACCTGCTGGTGACAGATGGAGTTTAGCTGTCTCAAAAGGGGAAAAGGATTCTCGCTCATGAGTTGGCAGGGCTCATTGAGAGGGCTTTAAACTAGGTTCGAAGAGGGAAGGGGATATGACCAGGCTCGATAGAGTGGAGCCTACGGGTGGCATGCTGATGTTGGGGGTGAAATCAATAGCCCAGCTCAGGTGCACCTACACCAATGCATGCAGCATGGGCAACAAACAGGAGAAGCTGGAAGCCATCATGCAGCAGGATAGCTACGACTTAATTGTCACCACAGAAACATGGTGGGATGACTCCCATGACTGGAGTGCTACAATGGGTGGCTATAAGCTCTTCAGAAGGGATAGGCAAGGAAGGAGAGTCAGTGGGGTGGCTCTGTATGTTAGGGAGTATTTTGATTGTATAGAGCTTAATGATTGTGATGATAAGGTCTAGTGCTTATGGGTAAGGATGAGGGGGAAGGTCAACGAGGCAGATATCCTGTTGGGAGTCTGTTATAAACCACCCAACCAGGATGAAGAGGTAGATAAAGCATTCTACAAGCAGCTGGAAGAAGTCTCAAAATCACTAGCCCTTGTTCTCATGGGGGACTTCAACTTACCAGCTGTCTGCTGGAAATACAGCACAGCAGAGAAGAAACAGTCTAGGAGCTTCTTGTAGTGGGTAGAAGGTAACTTCCTGACAGAGCTGGTAACTGAGCCTACCAGGGGAGGTGCTTCTCTTCACCTGCTGTTTACAGAGGAGGACCGGTGGGAGATGTGGTGGTCGGAGGCTTTCTTGGGTATAGCGACCATGAAATGATAAGTTTTTGATTCTTGGCAAAGTAAGGAGCGGGGTCAGCAGAACTGCTGCCTTGGACTTCTGGAGGGAAGACTTTGGCCTGTTCAGGACACTGGTTGAGAGAGTCCCTTAGGGGACAGTCCTCAAGGGCAAAGTGGTCCAGGAAGGCTGGGCTGTAGGCACACATTGCCAGCTCATGTCCAATTTTTGATTCACCAGTATCCCCAAATCCTCCTCTGCAGGGCTGCTCTCAATCCATTCATCACCCGGTCTGTATTAATACTGGGGATTGTCGTGACCCAGGTGCAGGACTTTGCACTTGGCCTTGTTGATGAGGAAAGGCTGAGAGAGTTGGGGTTGTTCAGCCTACAGAAGGTAAGCTTCCGGGGACACCTCACTGCAGCCTTTCAGTATATGAAGGCGCTTGTAAGGTAGATGGAGAGAGAGTTTTTACTAGTGTCTGTAGTAACAGGACATGGGATAACAGTTTTAAACTCAAAGAGGGTAGATTTAGATTGGACATAAGGAAGAAATTAGTTACTATGAGGGTGGTAAGAACTGGAACAGGTTGCCCAAAGAAGTTGTGGATGTGCCCCATCCTTGGAAATGTTCCAGGTCAGGTTGGATGGGGCTTTGAGCAACCTGATGTAGTGGAAGATGTCCCTGCCTTTGGCAGGGGGGGTTGGAACTACATGATCTTTGAAGGTCTCTTCTGACCTAAACCATTCTCAGATTCTGTCATCTCTTGTTCACATTTTCTGTGCAAGTCATGGATCTCAGGAGTTCATTTTTCAAGGCATGTACATTCTGTTGTGCTTAATTAAGGTTCTTGTTTTTACTTTTTGAACAAAACTAATATAGCTGAGGTACAGCAGTGCAAACTAGCCTGACCATTCCTTGTCTATGCATAGCTTCTTAAATTGAACTTGATGCTTCTGCCTCTCTACCTCAGCTCAAGACTTTTATAAAGAAATGCTAATTACTATTTCATTTCCTTGTGACACTGAACTGATGGCTGAACCTGACATTGTTGAAAATTAAGGTAATCACTACCTGCAGTAGCCATCCAAGAACTTCCCAGGGAAAGACTGGGAGATCTTGGACATGTGGAACTATTATATGGCATCCTGAAATAATTTAGGTCAGAAGGGATCTCTGGAGGCCATGTCATCTAAATCCCTGCTCAAAGCCAAGTCGATTAGATCAGGTGGCTGGTCAAGTCCAGTTGAGTTTTGAATATCTTCAAAGAGTAGAAATTCCATAACCTGTTTTGGCAGCCTGTTCCAGTATTTGCTTATAAAATAAATACATCTTTATCTAATGAATTTTCCATGTTTCAGCTTTTGTCTGTTGCTTCCTCTTCTATCACTGTACACCTCTGAGAAGGGTCTGGCTTCATCTTTGTATCCTCCTAACAATAAGACAGCTTCAAGGTCTCCCTTAGCCTTCTCTTCTTAATTCTGAACAACCCCAGAACCCTCAGCAGCCTCTCCTTACATGTCTGGTGCTTAAGCCCTCTGATTATCTGGAGGACTCCTGGACTCACTTCAGTATTTCAGTGTCTTTTTCAGAGAAGCCTAAAGCTGGGTACAGTATTCAGAATGCAGTCTCACAAAGACTGGATAGAGAGGAAGAATCACTTCCCTTGATTGTCTGGTCAACACTTGGTCAGTGTCTCTGTATGCCTCCTGGGTAGCTTATCCCCTCTTCAACCTCGTGCATACTTCGCATCAGCATTTGAACTTGGTCAGGAGTCTTACGCACTGTTCTGGCCTTCTGCCACACTGACTTGAGTTTCTGCACACTAGAGTGAACTACTCTTATTCTTTGAGGAGGTAGTCCTTGGAGATCAACCAGCTGTTGTGAGCCATCCAGGGCAACTATTAAAAACGCTCACCAGGGGCAAGAACTTAATAACACAGGAATAAAGTAGCAAAGGGGATTTAAATTAAAAGAGAGCAAGCCACAAAGGTATAGATCACTAAGGATAGTTGGGTAGATTAGGGTGGGTTGTGTCTGTCAAACCTACATTTTCTTTTTCTTTATATGTCAAGCTTTTTTTCTTCCCTCTACTCTTCATGACAGTAAGATTGATTGCATAGCCAAGTTTTGTCAACA